TTGAATCTATAAGCTATAGAACTCATTACAATAATTGTACTAATAATTATACTACTATACTATATACTAATTGTACTAATAATTATACTACTACACTATATAGTAATTGTACTAATAATTATACTAATTAGTATTAATATTATATTAATAANTAATAATTATACTAATTATTATTAATATTATAATAATTATACTAATTATTATTAATATTATAATAATTATACTAATTATTATTAATATTATAATAATTATACTAATTATTATTAATATTATAATAATTATACTAATTATTATTAATATTATAATAATTATACTAATTATTATTAATATTATAATAATTATACTAATTATTATTAATATTATAATAATTATACTAATTATTATTAATATTATAATAATTATACTAATTATTATTAATATTATAATAATTATACTAATTATTATTAATATTATAATAATTATACTAGTTATTATTAATATTATAATAATTATACTAATTATTATTAATATTATAATAATTATACTAATTATTATTAATATCATAATAATTATACTAATTATATTACAAGTATCAATGCTTCGTAGTTCTTTTAATCCTTGCCATGCAACTTCGTTAAATACAACGGGTTGAATTACAGATTCTATAATTTATCAATAGCTGCTTCCATTCAACAAGAAATCAATTGAATCAATTTAATTGAATGAGAGCAATTCATGTTACACTAAAAAAATAGAATCTTCATTCACGGAGCACATTAGTACAATTCTAATTGATTTGTCTGCATTCTAATTGATTCTGCAGCAACGAGACCCTACAGAGGTCTCACGTTGTTCGACTTGAATCCTCGTGTGGTTGGAGGAGCGGAGGCCAAACCAGGCCAATTCCCATGGCAAGTGTCCCTGCAATGGGGTTTCTCCGCCTCAACCTCCCATTTCTGCGGTGGTTCCATCATTGACGCCCAATGGATCGTCACAGCTGGTCACTGTGTGCAAGCGGTTCCAAGTTTTGGTCGGCTCGTGGTCAAGGCAGGCAAACACAGTTTGAGATCTGCCGAATCTGCCGAGCAGACAGTGACGGTTGTGAAGACCTTCGTTCATGAGAAATACCCTGGGTAAGGAGCGAGATCCTAAGAGAACCTTCCTTTTTGACGAATGCAGCAAATCAGTTCTGATTACAATACAACTTAGTATTAATTGCCAATGGCGTTTGATTTGTTCGATTCAGTTTGACTCCGAATGGATTTCGATTTAGCGATTCGAATTTAATTGTGAATGGAGTTCGACTCGATTTTGATTTCGAATGGATTTTGGCCTGATTCCATCTCGATTCTGAACGGACTTTGATGGTGAATGGCTGTGTTACAGTGACGTCGCTCCCAACGACATCGGCCTTCTGAAGCTCGAGAAGCCTCTGACCCTGAACAACAACGTCCAAGCCATCAGCTTGCCAGTTGCAGGAAGCTTACCGTCCGGAAGTGCCCTCTTGTCTGGTTGGGGATCCACGTCAAGAACGAACAGCCCCGTCATGCCTGACAAACTCCAGTACGCATCCTTGCCATTGATCGACTACGAAGCCTGCAAGAAAGCCATCGAAGAACTGACTGGACCGTCTCCATTGGACCCGGTCAACGTTTGCAGCGGCCCTCTCACTGGCGGATACTCCGCTTGCAGCGTAAGAAAGAAATCTGATTTTAACCTCACCTCAAGCACTCCAGTAGATCGTGTAACAAGTTCGTTCGCGGACCTCTGTCGCTTAGGAAAAGCCAAGAAAAATTACGCGAATTCAAAGCGATAGTTCAGGCGGATTTTAAGATACGTTCTCGTAGAGTTATTTCTATGCAACTTGGCTTAAATGAAAGCTGAAAGTGTCTATTTTAAGACAGGGTAGATTAGGCTGAGATTGTATAAGTCCGTTCGCGTCGACGATTACATTTTCTTACAAGAAAACGCGAACGGTCGCAATCGAGTGGATTAAAAGATTTTATACCACTGCTTTCCTCGCGGTGCTCATTGCTATCAATTTCTGATAACGAGAGTTTCTCCTCGTAGTTACGTTTCTATTTGCTATGGAATGTTGCTTTTACTTCGCACGAATATCTCAATTACGGTTTTCCGTAACAGGGTGACTCCGGCGGCCCACTGGTTCTCAACAACAAAGGCAAGAACGAGCTGATTGGAATCGTTTCATGGGGCATCATGCCATGCGGCACTGTCGGCGCACCGTCAGTGTACACTAGAACATCTGCATTCAACGCATGGATCCTGGAGAAGATAGCTAAGAACTGAGCCTCTCGATGGAACACGCTCTACGTGTACCTAAGTTTATCCGATATTCCTATGATTTAAATATGAAACAAAGGATAAAAATACTACTAACACAGAAGCTATCAAAGTGAACAAAGAAATGAAAAAAAAAGAATTGTTCAGTATTAAAAACGTTTTACCCAAAAACCATGGATTATTATTCATTTCGAGATCTAACCCTTAACCCTTTGCACTCTCGATTGGTGACTCTGAGGCACCACTAAAATTATTATATCACGTTCCAAAATAATTTTTATATTAATAAAGTTTAGGTTTAAAAAATTGTTAGAAGTTGTATGAGTTGTACGAGTCACCACAAGTGACTCGTCGACGAGTCACCATAAGTCAGAAAAATCATTTTTAATTTACAGTTAAAAAGGCTTCAGGTTAAACTCGATCCAATGCTGTCATCACATTTATGTTCAGATTCATTTTACCAAAACTCGTAAGGTACTATTCACTGCGAAGTGTAAACCTAAACTCGTGCCACTACTATGCACCAATTATATTAATTGTTAGACTTCGTCAAAACTGTTCCTCTTCCATTGGCTCGGTCGCCTCGCGCCAGCCGAGCTCGCCTCTCATTGGTCATTGTTTTTCGTTAATAACTCGTTAACGGTGCCTCGGAGAAAATTTTCGCAAAGGAAAAAGTTGCTTCAAATGACCTGCGAAACCCGCCACTTCTGGATTGCGAGACATTTTGGGACACCATGTATAACTATATAATCATATGTTTCACTCCTCCTCCAGTTTTGGATGGACGATCCATCGCTTCAATCAAAATAACTGCAACATCTCAAGCAATCCTCCAATATTTCGAATTCAGTGTATCGTTCGCAGAGCTAAGGAACTCAGACATTCCATAGTAAATCATTAGAGGAGTGAAAACCTGGACCACCATTGACGCAACCCATTTGCAATCATCGATGGCCCAATGGAACGAGAACCAGTTCCAGTCTGTAGGAAGAAAGATCATTCCAGTTCCTCCTCAGGATGTTCTTCCGCGATCGGGCCACCTTGACACTGACCACTCTCGCCGAGACGCATTCGATCCTGATTGCTCGAACGGCTCGAAGCGACTCCGCGCGATGCGCCTGCAAACATCGATCATCATATCGACCGCCGTTGCTTTGATCTGTTCCGCGATGGAGGGTAAAACAACGCGATCGAGTTCGTCTTTTTTATCTCGTTAATCTAATCTCGCTTTCCAGTGGCAGAAACGATGTCAAGATCAGCGATGCTGGCGCAGCGGCCAACCAGGATCGTCGGAGGCAAGGACGCCGAGAAAGGACTGCATCCTTGGCAGATGTCGGTGCACTGGGGCGACAGATCGAAGAAGATCCAGCCGAGACACGTCTGCGGCGGCAGTCTGTTGACAGCAGGTTGGGTGCTGACGGCAGGACACTGTGTCACCCTTGCTCCTTCCAAAGGGGAGTACCTGATCCTTGGTGGGAAGTACAAACTCGGCGTTCCGGAGGACACCGAGCAGAGCAGGCTCGTCAAGAACGCTTATGTTCATCCACTATACGACGGGTGAGTCCAAAAATGGATTTAAAGATTAAGCTTCGGGTAGCTGATGAAGTAGTGAGTACTCTCTGAGTACTTCGTTTAGTTTTAATAGTGTGCACGATTATTTAGAAATAGATAGATTTAGAAATGAAGCCTCGGGTAGCCGATAAAGACGCCAATTCATTAACTATTTTACTTTAATAGTGCACAATTATATAGTTTTAGGTAATAGATTGAGAGGCGAAGCTTGTCACAGTTTTAATTAATTTAATTGTATTTTATTTTATTTTATTTTAACAACGCGCTCAATTAGTTTCAAATAGATTGAAAAATGCAGTTCAGCTGCTCGACTGTTTCATTTAATTATAAAACTATACACCTTGCGACTTCATTGTTTCCAGACGAAGGCAGAATAAATGCACCCATGCTGTAACACTGAAGTAAATTACAACTAAGCAAATTCCCTTTTTCATACATAATCAAAACATTACAAATTAAAAATTAAATTTATAGTTATACATGAGAATAATTCTATTTGGTAACATTTAGTTCCTCCTTATTCTAAAATATTCCAAGCTCTTGTATCACCTAAGTTTCGTTTAAAAATGATTGCTCCAGGACCGTAGCACCGTACGACATTGCCCTGATGAGCCTAGAACAGCCTTTCGACCTGAACCCATTCGTTTCGACTGTGGCTTTGCCATATCCGGACTCGATACCATCCGGAGATGTCATGCTGAGTGGGTGGGGTAGTATCGGAAGAACACGACGTCCAAAGACCCCGGAGAAGCTGCAGGCAGCCGTGTTGCCTATCGTCGATTACGCTTTGTGCAAACTCACATTGGACAAGAGTCTGAAGAGGAAAGACAAGAATCCTCTGCATCCGACAAATATTTGCACCGGACCTTTGGATGGAAGCTTGTCAGCTTGCAAGGTAGTCTTTATTCTGAGATTACGTTTTCAATGTCCATTGTTAATACGTTATAAAGTGCATTCGAAGATATAGCGTGGCATTTGTTTGTACATGATTTTATTATTCCTCGACTTTTAAAATATAAGATGTCACAACCAATAAAAGATAAGAATATTATAACCAATAAAAGGTACCAATAGAAAGATGAAATATGAATTTTCATATCTGCAATAAATCATATCTACAACTGTCAATCCAAAAGAATTGCAGCTAGTAAAATGACCCAAATGGAGAAGAAAGTAACTTGAATCTTGAATTATAACAACAAAAAATTGGATTAATATTTTACCGAATTATTTACGTTATTTTTTAGGGCGATTCCGGAGGTCCTCTGGTGAGAAGGAACGATTTCGGCGAAGCGGAAGTGGTCGGCATAGTTTCCTGGGGACTGTTCCCCTGCGGTGGTAAGAACGCCCCCTCGGTTTACACGAGAGTGTCCGCGTTCGTGACGTGGATCATCGTGATCATGTTAAATTATTCCTAATCGCTGCTCGTCGATGTTATCACACTCCTAATCGGACTACACCGATTAAGAAGAATTTCCTGACAACTGTGTTATAAATACACGTACTTCGTTCCGATAAATAGATAGAATTAAGTGATCGAATTCCTCGCGGAGATTGCAGAATGCATTGTTAAAAATATGCGGCATTAAAAGACAACGTATCTTCGATAGACCGATCGTTCTTATCGCGTTCGTCTCCCCACCCACTTCGCGATCCTTCTTTCTGTATCGTAACCGACTTGCAAATAAAAACGCTCCTTATCCAGGAGCCAAGCTATCCAGCCGAGCGATCTTCCATCTGTTTTTATTAAATAAATAATTCTCACATAAACGTTGCCACACGGCACATCCACGGTGCGCAGGTACACGATACAGATACGCTAACGATCATATTTATACAAGCATCACGACCGTCGAGATCGACTCTTCAAACTGTCCAATCATCCCAGCTAATTACAAGCTCTTGCAAGCTTCCGAGACGACCAACACAGCAGCCAAAGCCTCCTTCGCCGTTGGGATGATGTAGCGGGATGGTAAAACGAAACCATGCTTCCCGGTGTCCCTCAACTCGATCGTGTAGGTGTACTTCATCTTCAGGATGGCCTTGGCCCAGTCGTCGGAGCCTCCCGATGCTGCGTAAAGGGTGGTCGCGCTGTTCCCGACGGTGTAGGCGCTATTCTCCCCGCCTGCCTTCCTCATCGCCATTGCCATGTCCCTACCGACATTCTCGAGGTCGGCATAGTCAGGTGGAACCCGTCTGTCGTAGCCCCATGGGTACAGAATGAACTGGCCGTAGCTGTGGAAGGTCAGGTATGCCTGCACAGTGATCGGAAAAATGGTCGTTAATGGTCGATGATAATCGCGAAGATCTCTAAAACGTTTACAAATTAACGCTAATGCTACCGAGCATTATAACTGAAAAATATTGCTTTATAAGAATAGCAACACTGAATTCATTTAGACCTGATTCATTCATTTCGGACACCTGATTTCTGTTAGGATATGTGCTCGGAGTTAAGAAGCTCATTCGATCATTTCCCATGAAAAAATTGCTACGGAAGAATGTTCGTTAATGGTCGATGATAATCGCGAAGATCTCTAAAACGTTTACAAATTAACGCTAATGCTACCGAGCATTATAACTGAAAAATATTGCTTTATAAGAATAGCAACACTGAATTCATTTAGACCTGATTCATTCATTTCGGACACCTGATTTCTGTTAGGATATGTGCTCGGAGTTAAGAAGCTCATTCGATCATTTCCCACGAAAAAATTGCTACGGTTTCAGCAGTTTCTAAATGAAGATTTCGAGATGATTTTGATCGGCACGGTAGATTTCATGTTTAATTAACACTAAACCTTCCAAGCAGTAATACTAACTGGCATGTACTGCTTCACAAAAGTGAGAAGACCGAATTTATTTAGAACTTGTAAAGTTTTTACTATAAAACTTGCTCCAATAATATAACTTGCGTTTTCTACGAAAGAGTCTCAAAACTTTGCAGAAACTTTGCACTAAACCTACCAAGCAGTAATACTAACTGGAATGTACTGCTTCACAAAAGTGAGAAGACCGAATTTATTTAGAACTTGTAAAGTTTTTATTATAAAACTTGCTCCAATAATATAACTTGCGTTTTCCACGAAAGAGTCTCGAAACTTTGCAGAATTGCAAAATAAGAAAGCGGTCACTTCGACCGCGGTAGGCTTAGTGTTAATGCTAGGGCGACAACGACCTTGAAATTAGCAGCGCTGGCTTCGAAGAAGTTCCTGATGGCGTTGGTCTCGGGCTCGGAGAATGGTCCAGAACCCGCGTAGATCTCCCGACAGGGGTCCTTGCTGGTCCCTTTGCCACCCCATCGGTAGCCGAAATTTCGATTAAGGTCTACACCGGTGCAGGAACTACCAATCGCTCGTCTCCTGTTCTTGCGCCATAGTCGGTCTCTCGTGAAAGTGTACTCGTAGCTGACGGTAAAACAGTTGGCGAGGTTTTAGGATGATTCGAGGAATCGTTGCTGAGTTATTATATTCGTTTACCCGTCGGGATTGGCTACGGGGAGGATGTAATAGTCAGCTTCGAGGCTGTCGCTGTTGTCCACCAAATAGTCAATGATGTAGGTCACCGCAGCTGGCGAGATCCATTCTCTCGCGTGAATACCGCCGTCGATCCACAATGCGGGGGCGTTCGGCTTCCCGTTACTGATTCTGAGTACCTACGGTATTCACCATTCGCCGTTCACCATTTATCAACAGTGGGGATATTTTTATGTTTTCCTTCCTTTTTGTTTTTGTTAGATAGAAACGTCTAAAACGGCGCGAGAGTAATTATCAAATCGAGAACGAGATCGAGAAATCTCTGAATAGTGCATTTGTTTCCTGTCTTCGCTGTAATTGGGGGCAATAAAGTTTACAGTTTCCGTAACGCAACGCTGATTCGAAGCCTTGAAGAATGCATAAAACGCAAAGAAATCTCTGCAATTAGACACAGAGAGATCTTCGAAAATTCTCTTCGTCTTTTCTCGCGCTCGATCGTCGGGCATCGCGAAGCTTGCAGCTAATGTCGCTTCGTCTTCGCTCGAAGCTATGAATAATACAATAAATGATAATGGAAATTGTCCATCGATTACTCAACGCGCGATAAAAATATCGAAAATGGCGCAGAGATAATTCAATCAAGAGAGACAATGAAATCATCGAGTTTCACCGGGTTGATCGATCGTTCCGGTGAGACGGAATGCTGTTTCGAAAAATTAGTACCTTCAGAGATCTTCCTTCGACAGAGTTTCCAATGCTGACGACAGAGCAGACCGCGGGGAAGGTTTCGGCCAGGTAATGAAGGTAGCTGTGTATGTCGTCGAGTCTGTGGTAACTGGTCCATTCCATCCGATGACCTGGCGGGTATACCTTCAAGATTATTCAGAGATTGCACGTTCGACGCCCTTAAGTCGTACGTGAGTGCATTCCGCTCCGTGGATTCAGAGACGAGCGATTGGCAAACTTCGGAACAGGAAACGTCGATGGCAAGAGATTGGAACCACGATACGCTGACACATTTTTCAAGACGGGATAACTTTTATAAAAATTCAATGGAAGCCTCGAATCGTTTTTAGACGCTCGACTGAACAAAAATTGCATTTAGTTCGAATGATAAAACGATTAAGAAATTATGCTTTCTCAACTTTTTCAGCTGGGTCTGTGACGAAAATTAAAGAAGTTTTGGGTGTCGATAACTTAAATGCAAGATGAAAATGTTATCGGAAGCGGTTAACATTGTTATCAAGTACTAACAATTAAAGATAGCGAAAATCGCGGTTTTACACGACTTTCGACCAAAAACTGAAAGAAACGTAAAGACTTGGGCATCTTTCAGTGCCTATTGTTTTAGGTTCATATAAGAAAAGTTGAGGAAACTTCATTTCTTCATTAGTGCAACAAATTTTGCAAAATATCTTACGGTCGTCTTGTAAGTTGATCAGTTTAACATCTAAGAAACAATTTAAATCATTTAATTCATTCTGAATTTCTTTGCACTCGAGTGGCGACTCTGAGGCGACGCCAAAAATTGCTGCACTATTTTCAAAAGAATTTTTATAGCAATTGAAATACCAATTGGAAAAACTACAAGGTAAAAATAAATGACTCGAGTTTCGAGTTAAAATAGTCTCGAGTGCAAAGGGATAAAATAGTTATTCCGTTTAAAAGGGTGCCAACATGCTTTCCGCGGCGACAGTAAACAGACCAAAATCATCCACTTCGAATGTTCTATACTACAATCATTTTAATTAATCTAACGATTCCATGCAAAACTGATCACTGTAACTATACAGTGCCCCTCAGTATTAAAAATCATTAGCGTTTAAATTCGGTGTCTACGAATCTGCGATCGAAGCTCGTTCATCGATGAGAGCATAGTAAATGGTTCTGAATCGACGAAGCGGATTATGCGCGCAGAAAGCTCACCCCTAAAGCGCCAGGGAGCACCCCCACCGTATACACTAGGATAACGAAGAGGACGTGGACGTGGGTATCTACCTCGCACCCTGACTCCCTGCCACCAAGCGTAGCGAGCTAGAAAATTACTCATAAGCTCAGTGATTGGTGGTAGTCGATGTTGCCTGTTAGTCTATAGATAATCGATAGTTTCCGGCTCGGAGAAATTTTAATTAACCGAAGAGCGAGAGAATTGGAAAAGATATGGCTTCGCAATCGACATAATCAGACTGCGGATCTTCGTGCGTCAATAACACGTGTAAAATTATGCAAAATTATGAGATACAAGTATTTCCTTTTATATGAGTGATTGATAGATCAGTTTAGTCGAATCAAGTTTATCAAGTCACATAGTCGACAAATTTAGGTGTTGCATTAATCAAAGTAGCTAACTCAGATTTTCCTCTAAATTTTTAGCGAACCGCCTACGCAAAAGATTGCACGAATTATATTGCACGAAGTTCCACGATCTAGACGCGATCTATAACTTTGTTAGAGATCGAAGATCTCACTTTTGCTAAGCAGCTAACAGTAACGCGAAACCCGTAGAATCCCGGCAACCAGTTTTTCCCGGATCATCGATCAATCGCAATCGGCGACGCGTTCAGCGTCTGCTATCCTCATTCGCGATTCCGTTCGAATTGTCGGAGATGCAGGTTTCTCTATCGTCGATTTCCAATCCATTTGGGCCCGCTGCCAATCGGAGCTGCCCGAAGATTTGCCTGGGAACGACCTAACGGGATTCGGATCGAGCACCGTGAATCGCGTAAACTCGCCCGGAGAGCAGCAGATCGATCGATCGCGCGCGCGCGCGCGTTGCAGAGACGCGTAACTGTTCATGTTAATCAGCATTATGGTACCGGAAGTGTGTGAGCAGGCTACATTGCCGCGAGGTTGCTAACCTCGTGCTTCTTCTTATCAGGACAACATTACCGTCGAACATCACTCGACGGAGATCTGTCGATGACAGATGGTTCCTCTCGTATCTCTCGTAAGAATCTAGGTTACATTGAAAAGCGGGCATTCGAGGATTCACGAGAGCGGATCGCGCGATCCACGCCGGCGTGAACGATCCTGGTTGATCGTTAAGGATTCCTCGACGCGTTAGAATGTCGTTAGAGGCAGTTTCACACGATTAATTTTCCCGGTACGTCCGACGGAGCTGTTAAGCGGCGCTTATCAAAATCACTTTCGAATCGGTGCCCGGACTCGGCCGTTTGTTCCCCTCGGCTTTCTTCGGTACGTGACTGGACTGGCCACTGCCTCCTTGATGCCATTCGTGTCAGTGGAACGGGTAAAATGACAAGTGAAACATTTTTTCTTTCACTGGCGAGCAGCGAACGGGTTTCGTTCCGCGGAAGCGTATGATGATCGAATAGAACGATTTCGAAGGAAGTAAAAAACGTTTCTATGATTATAGCTGGATCGTGGATCTCCGAAAATTTTCATTTTTATTCGTCGCGAGCGTATAATCATTGATTAAAATTATTTTGAGGCAACTGAACATTTTTCTGTGATTAAATGTAGTCTGTGGATTTTTATGGACTGTTTCAGTATTACGTGTTATATTGCAAAAATCAAAATTAATCACTTGCAAATCTAAGACTCTTATGAATCAGCTGCTATACTTCTTTGTTAATATTCTCACTAAAATGGTTGCTATTCAATAAATTATCAGGTTCTCTACCTGTGTCATTTTCAACAACGACCGCAATAGTTTTGACATTTTAGTAACCGATTACACTAACGTTTCTTTCACAGCTACGATGATTAGCACTTCTCTATTTTTAATCATTTTCCTGATAGAACGAGACCATTTTTGTTTCTCGTATGTCTCTATTTATTTTTGTTCCCAGATTTTGATGAACGAAGAGTCGAATTTTGTTTCGATTTAGAAGAAACGATTAATATTCATTATATTAATATTAATATATTTATAAGATATGAGATTAATAAAAAGACTTCCCCATCAATTAAAAGATTACTCCTCGTAAAAATAAAATAAAAATGTAATTAAATCTTGTACATATCTACACTGGCATTTTATAAATCTGCACATGCCACAAATGCAATCCGCGATCAAATTATAATAAATTTTGAACCGATGAACGTAACATCCAATCGGTTACGAATTTTTCACTGGTGGACTGTAGATTCTATGGTTATCTTAAGCACTCGTTCCCGTTAATTCAAACGAGTATAAACAGACATTCAGACAGGGCAAAAGAGAATATCAAGCGAAGGCAGAATAGTAAGCAAAATCGACGATATCGTATTAAAAGAAAAATAGCGGGGTACGCACCGAAACGACCCTCCATCTCCTGCATTTCCTCTTCGGATGGCACTGGATTTTCTTCGTCTATCTCTTTCTGCAGGTCCTCGATCACTATATTATATTCAAGGTCCTTCTGTTTCAAGTAACGAGCGACTCTGGGAATTTCTTCCGAGCGGACCATCACGTCGACTGCTGTCTCGTTACCCAGCCATACGGAAAATACTGTTCAAAAAAAGGCAGAAAAACACTGTTTTTACTTCTCTCTTAGACCCACTATACTGAAACGAGGACTCCCTTGATTTTCGAATGGACGAATACTCATACTTTGAATAAGAACTGCGCTATTCTTCGTACACTAATCAGTTATAATAGTGCCTTCTTGCTCAATCATATTAGAAAATATTGACAGAAAAGTGGTATCTTCAGTTCTTTGATTTAACTGAATCCTCTTAAGTTAAAATTCCTTTATTATTCTTACCAAATTGAAATGAGAACGGTGACTGCATTCGACTTACAAATCAGCCATAATAATCTCACTGATTGCGTCTAGCTATTACTACTACCTAACATTGCACTGTACAATTTACACTTCGAAATGTTAAGAAAATTTCGTCGAATAAACCTTGAGATTACAATCTTCGTTAATAATTCTAAATAAAACGACTCAATCGAATCATCGAAATGGCATTTCGTCTCTCAGAAATTTCTCCGTTCCGAAAACCAAGTGGAATCATTCTACCAGACACCTAAAGCCCATAAAGCTACTAACGTCCAGCCTCCTGGAAGTCCGTGGCAACGCTGGAGACGGACTGGCCTTCGGCAGCATTCACCCTCCACACTTGGGCGCCATCGTAAGACACCTTCGCGTCTCTCACCCTCACCGCTCTCTGGATGGTCTTCGAGTTCTCGGCGACAGGTTCGTCAACGATCTCGATCCAATCCGGGATCACGAAATCCCGACGCTGACGCTGCAGCACCGACGCTTCCCCGAGCGACGCGACGATAAGGAGGAAAACGAGCGTGGCCAGGCGGCCACGTGCACTGCGCGGTGTGCTGCTTTTCGCCATCCTCGAACGACTATCCACGGGTCTTCGACGGTCCTGCTTTTATGATATTCGACACGGTCGCCGATCGGGAGTAACGGGACTTAACGAGCCCGACTCGCATACTCCGAACGCGGGTCGCGTCGATAGCCAGCTTTGGGGATCTTTGACCCCGACTATCATCACCTGCGGAACTCATTGGATCCTGGCAGGTCGGCAGAATTTTTGGAATTTTCTTTGACCACCTTGTGGGATACATCCGATCCTTGAAGATTAGGATCGGTGTCGGATCAATTTCAAAATTCTGAAGCTGTCGGAATTTTTCTCGACGATCCAAGGAATTGTTTTGGTCTGTGATGGAGATAGGATCTTCTCTAGGTGCTGGAATATATCATGGAATTTTTTCGATTGTTCTTGACAATCGGTTAGTTTTCATTTTGATCTTTGAAGATGAGGATTAGTGTCAGGATGATTGGTCAAGCTTTCGAAATTTTTTCTAGATGATAGAATGAAGTGTCTTGGTCTGTGATGGAGATAGGGTCTTCTTTATGTGCTAGAATATCCATAGAATTTTTTGGATTGTTCTTGACAATCGGTTAGGTTTGATTTTGACCCTTGAAGATGAGGATCGTTGTCAGGTTCATTGGTCAAACTTTCGGAATTTTTTCTCGATGGTCCAATGAATTGTTTCGGTCTGTGATGGAGGTAGGGACTTTTCTAGATCCTGGGGGATCCTCAAAATTTTTTGGATCGTTCTTGACAATCGGTTAGATTTGATTTTGACCCTTGAAGATGAGGATCGTTGTCAGGTCGATTGGTTAAACTTTGGGAATTTTTCCTTAATGATTGTTTTCGACAGATTGTTTTCGTCTCAGCTGAGTTCTAACGGGTCATCAGAATTTTTGGATCGTCCTTGACAGTCTACTTGATCTCGATTTTTGAACAATAGAGCTATTGTCCACTCTATTGTTCAAGCTTTAAAAATTTGTTTTCATCATCCATTGGATTATTATATTTCTTGATAAAAATATAGTCCTCTCTTTCTAAGCCCTGAAAAGTTCTGAAAATCTTTAGAACTGTCTCGGATGGCCTGTTAGATTCATTTTCACCCCTGAAACAAAACAAAAACAGGCTGCTCTTGCGATGGAATGCGAGGATCGAACATGCTTCACAGAATAATTGTATATGCTGCACGCGTAGTTTAGGAACAACAACCCTTTGCAAAAGCTTCGTGGATTCTGCACGAAGAATTTCGGTTAGGCTTATCCCCGGCATGAGTTCTATGGACTGTCGAATGAGGTAACACAGTCCAAGTGCTTCGAGGCAACAGCATTCCGCGCAAGCGTGGCCCCGCGGCTGATGTCCCCCGTTCGAAGTTGACTAATGGCGTTGGGAACATCAGGGAATCCGGGCCGCTCGTAAAGTCATGAAGACCCTGCTGATGATTGCCTGCCTGATCGCGGCCGTCGCGACTTTCGAGGTACCGTTTCGTGCGTAATGTTGGGATTATATTTTTGTTACTCTGCGTGCCGTTAGGTCGACGTCGTCGAGGAGATCGTGTGAGTATACCCGCGATGATCGTCGAAGGAATCGAGGATAAAGTGAACGAGAATCGCGGAATCTCGGGGAAACGGATTGCACTTGGTTAACTGGAACATCAATTCGAAGTGTTGCGATTTAAAGGGGAATGATTCGAACAGATTGTGAAAGCTGTTGTGCACGAGCAGTCCAAGTTTTGCTTATAGTGGATCCGGCTCGTGATGTTTTATTTCATAGTGTTCGGGATTGTTGTTAACGTTGTTGACGACGATGAAATATTTTTACAAAACGATGTAATGCGTCGAAAAATCTAGTTTACGAAGGGGACAGAATTGAAGCCCGATGTAGACCAGACTCGTTTCACTTTTCTAAAGCTAACGATGTAAGGTTTCCCTCGTCGCCGGCTATAGTTCAAAGTCCAATGTGCGCTTTGGCCACCGCGTGTCAGAAATTTCATCAGAAGATTCAAAAGCGAGGAAACGCATCGAAGACTAAAAAACCTATGGGAACCAAGATTTCTAGGTTTAACGAAACCTAGATTAGTCTTCTAGAGATTAACTCTCGAACGACTCAACATTTTCAGAAGTTAATATCAGAAGTTAATATAATATAATATATATATGATATATAATATATATAATATAATATATATATGATATATAATATATATAATATAATATATATATGATATATAATATATATAATATAATATATATATGATATATAATATATATAATATAATATATATATGATATATAATATATATAATATAATATATATATGATATATAATATATATAATATAATATATATATGATATATAATATATATAATATAATATATATATGATATATAATATATATAATATAATATATATATGATATATAATATATATAATATAATATATATATGATATATAATATATATAATATAATATATATATGATATATAATATATATAATATAATATATATATGATATATAATATATATAATATAATATATATATGATATATAATATATATAATATAATATATATATGATATATAATATATATAATATAATATATATATGATATATAATATATATAATATAATATATATATGATATATAATATATATAATATAATATATATATGATATATAATATATATAATATAATATAATATACTCATCCTCAGCTTTTTGTTTAATTGCTGAAGATTGACCAATTCGGTGGCGATTTAAATATTCCAGGTCAAAAAGATCTGGTGTCCCTAATCCGTTGATTAAACAGTAACAGTTTCAGATCCAGCAGAACCCAATTTAGACCTCGGAGACTTAATTCCTACATCTTCCTTCCTAACATCAATACTTCGAAACCTAACACGTCATAATCCCAGACTTTCTTCCAATTAGTTAGAACGCAACAGAAGCTAATCGGTATTTAACGATGCGGATTCCAGAGCGATGAGCTAGTAGTCACCGACCAAGTGTACCTGGACATCATGATAGGCGATCATCCAGCCGGAAGAATCGTGATCGGCCTGTTCGGTGACATCGTTCCGAAAACCGTGCAGAACTTCATCACCTTGGCGACCACTGGAGTGTCCGGGAAGACGTACAAAGACAGCCCGTTCCATCGGGTGATCAAGAAGTTTATGATCCAAGGTACTTCATTCGTAGGATCAACCGGAATTCTCGATCAAATGGTTCGATTACACAGGTGGGGATATCGAGAACGGCGATGGAACAGGATCCATCAGCATCTACGGGAAATACTTCGACGACGAGAACTTCCAGGTGAGTCACAGCGGCCCCATGTTCGTCAGCATGGCGAACGCTGGCAAGGATACCAACGGCTGTCAATTCTTCATCACGACCATTCCCACGCAGTGGTTGGACGGACAGCACACTGTCTTTGGAAAGGTAGGAAATTGTTATTACTATGTTTTCTCAACAGTAATGACACCGGTATCAGAATTCTTTATTGCATTGAAACGATTTAGAAATCAATAAGAATACGATCTGATGCTGCAACTAAGTACAGTAATGCCTCTCTAACTGACGCTCAGATTATGCACGAAAATGGACAATTTGGGAAGAGGAGATACGATTATTCGAGCCTTGCGGCTCGTTTTTATAATTGTTGAAAATCGGTAACTATAACAACGAGTATCTCCTCTTCCCAAATTGTCTATTTCTGTGGACAATCTGAGCGTCAATTAGAGAGACATTACTGTAATTGTTCTGTCATCCGAGCATTCATGTTATTCGAATTGACCCGCGGATAATGAAAGTTCCACTGTAACACTAGCTTCTGCCATAAGTAATGCGAATTTAATTTTTTCTTTTTTGGAAGGCTCTGAATCTTTGTGGAAAATATACAAGGTGTCCCAAAAATGTCTCACAATCCGAAAGTGGCGGGTTCCTCGGGTCATTTGAAGCAACTTTTTCCTTTACAGAAATTTTTTCCGAGGCACCGTTAACGAGTTATTAACGGAAAACAGTGACCAATGAGAGGCGAGCTCGGCTGGCGCGAGGCGACCGAGCCAATGAGCGGAACTGGGCTTCGTGCGCTGGTTGGCTGAGTCGCCTCGCGTCAGCTGTACTCGATTCTTATTAGTCACTGTTTGTTCGTTAATAACTCGTTAACTGTGCCTCGGAGAAAATTTTTGTAAAGGAAGAAACTGCTTCAAATGACCCGAGGAACCCGTCATTTCCAGATTACGAGACATTTTTGGGACACTCTGTAGATTTATCTGCATCAATTAAAAGAAACAGAGGTTCGACAGAAACATAACATTATCAGTGGATTCTTATAGTGTTTTCATTGTCCCGCATTTTATTTACCAATTTTTATTATAAATGCATCGAAGCCGTAGTAATCACAAAATATAAATCAGTAAAATTTAATGAATACAGAAAAGACGCTAATGACAGCGATTATCGTATCGTACTTCAGTTTCTGTATTTTTACTTTCCGAAAATATAATCAAAAAGTGACATTACTTGTGAGTAGATTTTACGCATTTACGGTAAAAATGAATAGGTAACTATTGAATTAATAATTGAATTCTATTCGCAGGTGGTGCGCGGCGAGGACGTAGTCTTCAAAATCGAGCAGGTGAAGACTGACGTCGACGATTTTCCCCTGAAACCTGTTACAATATTCGATTGTGGCATTCTGCCGACGACGTCGAAGTTCACAGTGCCCCGTGATAACAGCTACAAGTAAATCGAACACTTGGTACTCGTACAGCAGCGCTGTAGAAAGTTCGGAGACGCTGTTGCTTCAAAAGTGGCGTTTGAGTCCTTATCCTAATTAGAAAAGCCTAGCTATGATTCACATAGGTATGTAACGATTTGATTGCGTAGATTTCATAATTATGCATAGTGGTGACAATGCTAGTTCTCGATTATACAGCTCCATTTTGCAGTAAGTAGAATCAGTGTGCAACGAACGTGTGCACTTTGTTATTAGTTGGACAGAGGATTTTATGCATTTAGAGAAAAAATTAGTGAATCAAATACGAGATAGCATAGAAAACATTTAAGCAATTAGTGAAAATATTCCAGTCCCGCTGTCAACTACCGAAAATTATTAAGAAAAGAAACGAATGTCTATGCTGTTCCTGCGCTTCTATTTTGCAGAAACACCCGCATTGTAAAAGCCGCAGTAATTAAACTGCGGACGTTGTCCTGCGGACGAAAATTTGTACGACTTGTGGAAGCATAATGCGACGCGTTCGCGTAATTCTAACAATTTCCCTACGAATTTACAGCGTATGGTCGGTGCTCAAAGCGACGGGCATCCCTCTAAGCATCAGTTTCTCGGTCCTCGCCGTGTTCCACTGGATGATGAAGAAATTAGACGTGTAATCGCAGCAATCGTTCGCTCGAGCCCTCAAGTATCACCGAGCGAATTGCCTCGACGGTGTTTAAACGGTTGCAGCCGCAGGCGATTTGGTGTCACGATACAACAGAGGCGGCATCGATTGATGTCGACGGACTACCAGCGACATCTAACATCGAATCGTGCAATTAATTGTCGGATTAATCTAAAAGCCTCCTCCGCTCTAACATCCGTTTAATCAATCAGTCGATTATTAATTTAGATAACAAGGAACTCTTTCAGAGAACATCAATCGTCGGTACAAATTATATAACATTCAACTCGTTATCGTTGAATTCACTGTAATTCCACAGCGTTTGCCTTACAGATAAATTAAATACATCGTGGAATCGCACTTCGATCCTATTTAGGGAATTTCTCTTCAATACTCCTCGCACCGCGACCCCAATTTTTGTATAACCGAATCCTGCCGGTAAAAATTACGGTTCGTCTCGAAATTATCGCCGAGCGGATTGTTCATTAATTCGTTCGCTGTGACCCTGATATTTTTGTGTAACTGTATTCCAACAGCAAACATTAAGGGAAGAATTTCGGTACAAAAAAATTAACGTTCTCTTAAAAGCTGTTGCGAAATAGATTGTGCATTGATCGTTATCACTGTGATCCTGATTTCTTAATAACTGCATTCGGACAGCTTGAAATTAAAGTAAAAGTTGAGGTAAAGAGAATTCAAATTATTGAATATTTAAATTTAATTATTTATTTATTAATTATTAATTTATTTATTTAATATTTAATATTTAAATTATTTCAAGGAAGGTGTACCGTCCTCAGTGCCTGCATTTTTACTACAAAATCAGATGATTTACAATATCTACCGACTACACAGCGCCAGAATTCCCCTATAAATCAAACGAAGTATAAATTCATCACGCGACGCAGCTAACAATATACAGCCGTACACGACAATGTACTAAAATACCCAGTGCCGCAGCCATTCGCGAGCAACGTAGCCTAATCAGACCGCTCCTGACAAAATTGCACAGTCACAACAAAAAATGCTCGTCCAACATTCTCCATAATTCCCACTCTTACCAAAACATCCCCAACCTCATCGATCAGGGGTCACCCTCGAAACAACCCTTAACCCTTGAAATTAAAGAAACTCGCAACAAACAGCGCCGAAAATAAATCTCCCTCGACCAGAAGCCGACAAATTTTCCCGGAACAGTTTTCGCATCGTCGCTGTTCCGAAATAACAAAAGCACCCAGCGATCCCAAAGCTCTCCCAGAATTGCCAGAAAGCATGCTCGATCGTCTCGAGCAATCAACGACCCCCGAAATAACGAAAAGCAGCCAGCGACGGCTGAGAAAACGAAGGAAACCTGCGAGGAGGCATTGACGCGTCGTCGCCAGCAAATTTTCTAGCTACGTCCCTGGCAATGACGCAAAAGAAGAACGCAGGCGCGGACGTCTGACGCCAGCGACGGGCGTAGAAGGCAAGCAAGCCCTCGCTATAGCGGCGTCAGTGAGTGTCGAGCCGGCTTCGCTCGCCGATCGTTGACTGAAGTGTGCCGGTGATCGCTGTTGTTCGAGCAAAATCGCGCGATCCTGGATCGCCTCGTGGCCGTCCTGTCACTCGCCTAACCAGCAAATCGGTGGCGCGCGGCCGCGCGCGGTGCCGAATCGAAGATCGGTGGGAATCATCGGCGCGAAAAGACGTCGATCGTTTCGCGCGCGTCGATCGCCGGGTGGCGCATGTTGCTCTCCTCGAGGTTCGATCCGCCGATAGACAGCTGGCAGAGGCTTTGTTCACTGGGATGCTTTGAAACGCAGCCACTGCCGCTCCGTTCAAGGTGAGCCCCTTTTTACTGACGCGACCGGTTCCAACAGACGATCCCGGTCAGCTGACCGCCGGTCCCTTCCCGAGCCATGAATGCACGCAAGTGCAACGCTCCGTGCGCGACGCGCAGTCCGCTTTGTCACGGCTCGACCTGCGAGTTACTGCTGCGCGATACGCATGATTGCTCGCATGCGCTGGCGACCTTTGTTGCGTACCACCGGAGTTCGCTGACTTCTTTGCGATTTTGGATGCGATTTCGGAGCAGGTTTCGTTCGTTTTTTCCGGGCTTAATTGCCGGCGTTTGAAAGAGTTGCGACAGCGGTTTCAGTTCTTGAAACAGCCTCGAGAAGACTAAAGAGAGAAGGCCAAAGAGTTGACGAATCTTCTGCTTGGGGTACAGTGTATTAGAATACGATGTATTTATTACGTGGCAGAGAACTGCAAACCCTAGAATCGATAAATAATAGTGGAAGAGTAATAATAGAAGAATCGAATCCGAAATCGATGTAAACCAGAATCGTTGCACTCTATAATAGTTGCAATGTCGAAGGTTGGAGTTTTTAAATTGAGGGAGTAATAATAGCAGAACCAAAACCGAAATCGATGTAAACCAGAATCGTTGCACTCTATAATAGTTGCAATCTCGAAGGTTGGAGTTTTTAAATTGAGGGAGTAATAATAGCAGAACCAAAACCGAAATCGATGTAAACCAGAATCGTTGCACTCTATAATAGTTGCAATGTCGAAGGTTGGAGTTTTTAAATTGAGGGAGTAATAATAGCAGAACCAAAACCGAAATCGATGTAAACCAGAATCGTTGCACTCTATAATAGTTGCAATCTCGAAGGTTGGAGTTTTTAAATTGAGGGAGTAATAATAGCAGAACCAAAACCGAAATCGATGTAAACCAGAATCGATGCACTCTATTATAGTTACAATATCGAAGGTAGGAGATTTTAAATTGAGGGAGTAATAATAGCAGAAGCAAAACCGAAATCGATCTGAACCAAAACCGATGCACTCTATAATAGTTACAATCTCGAAGGTTGGAGTTTTTAAATTGAGGGAGTAATAATAGTGGGAGAGTAATAATAGCAGAACCAAAACCGAAATCGATGTAAACCAGAATCGTTGCACTCTATAATAGTTGCAATGTCGAAGGTTGGAGTTTTTAAATTGAGGGAGTAATAATAGCAGAACCAAAACCGAAATCGATGTAAACCAGAATCGTTGCACTCTATAATAGTTGCAATGTCGAAGGTTGGAGTTTTTAAATTATGGGAGTAATAATAGCAGAACCAAAACCGAAATCGATCTAAACCAGAATCGTTGCACTCTATAATAGTTGCAATGTCGAAGGTTGGAGTTTTTAAATTATGGGAGTAATAATAGCAGAACCAAAACCGAAATCGATCTGAACCAGGACCGATGTAGCGTATAATAGTTACAATGTTGTAAATTGAAGTTTTTAAACCGTGATAGTAATTGGGTCGGAGAAGCTGTTGATTCGTCAGTATTGTTCTACATTATAAATAATTACGTTACGAATAATTCTATTTAGTGCGCTGGAGGAATCGCGAGCATCCTTTTAGATTTAGATCGATGGAAACGCGGTGCGAGGTTTCGAGAAAACTTTGCGAGATATTGCGGAGGTGTGGCAACTGGTAGATTTTGATTCGTTGCTAGGACGATAAAATCGGCCAGTACGAGTTTTAGAACGAAATTACGGAATATTATAGTGACTGGATTCAGAGATAGTTTCAAGTTAGGTTAGTTAGTTAGCGATGATTCATCACTACGATGGACAAATGAGGAATCGGTCATGGAAATGTTCTTTCAATAGAAATTGACACTAGATTTACGGAGCACGAAAAACAGCTGTTTTATATTAGTTTGTAAAGGTAACAATAAAACATCTGTTCCGATTTTTAACGAGTGTCATTGTAACATTTGCCGTAAGTAACATATAAATTGTATAAATAATTATTAAGTTATATTTAAATAAAATAATTGAGTAAATTAATGATAATCAATAATCGTAGATTAAAAAATTAGCGACCCGCCATTTTGACGGGTTCCGTAAATCTAGTGTCAAACATCCGCTTCTAGTCAAACTTACAAAAACACAGTAACAGTCGAAGAAAAGTCACGTAACATTATAATGATTTAGCTAGGAGACATAATTGCTAGCGTGGTAATGCGAAAATAGTACACAAAAGACGGACTAAAGCAAAAAACGCACTTCTTCGGCAAGACCTCTGTCGACCAGAAAACAAAGCAGCAATCCGATCAAAGTGTGCAAATCTGTTTTCCTGGAACATTCAATTGTCGCCTTTTGTGCGAATCTCCATTGTCCTCCGCAAACAAGAAAGGGAATTTCACAACAGTTGCTTTCCATATTACAGCTCGTACAGTCAACAATAAGAAAGTATGTATTACAGTACCTTCAGCGGATCGAAAATAAAGCAGTACGTATCAAGTTCCACGAAACTTTCTATTCCGCCCGTCCTTTGAAAACTTCTCTGCGAGCTACGCAGCACCCGCTGCCGACAATGGCCGAGGCTTATCAGAAACGGGAAGCAAGCTTCTCTCTTTGCGAGAGAACAATTACCAGCTTGAATTTCGAATTTCCACAGTTCGAATCCTGTTCTCGCTCGTGAGAAACTGTTGCTGGAAGTTCGTATCGCTCGATAAAAAAGTACGGTTGAACTATCTGAAAAGTAACGCGGCGCTTGGGATTTTTCTGTGAGAAAATTATTGTGCATAATTTGCGAACGAGTGCATTGTCGAAAGGTACATAGACTGTACAATCTGTAACAATTTTTCTGCTCCAAAATATTCAAAGAAGCCCGAGTAACAGCCTCGCTCCCAGAAGCTGTTTCGTACTCGGACGTTTTGTGAAAGAAGTTCGCAATGACAGTGTTCGTTTCGGACTCGACGATAATTCCCGAACGAAATTAGGATTACGGTAGAGTGAGAGTACCCTGAGCGTTCGTGCGGCCTACTGCGAAATATTCGCAGCAACGCGGGTCCTCGTGACCCGAAACGCCAGAAACGGAGCCGGGTTCCAGCGGCGTGGAACGCGAACCGCTCGTAAAGCCGGCTCTGACATTTTCGCGAGTTTACGATTCCGCTAGAGAGAAAGAGAGAGAGGAAGAAGGAGAGAGGAAGAGAGAGCTGAGAAGCTGGCGCACACGGAACTCGCGACCAATCGATCTGTTTACTGCCGGCCGAGATACGCCGGAACGGGGATCGATTTGAAATTGACGGGGAAACCGTTCGCCGCCAATGACTCGGCGCACGTGTCGAGCTTCTTTGTTCCACTCCGAGGACACGAGTCCCTGCGATAACGGAGCATCGTGAGGTATTCGCACGATCTTGGACGAAGCGATTACGTACGCGCCATTCATGCGCCGATTAGCCAAGGAATTGTTGCTGTCGCTGGTTCGCAATACATACTAACCTGCTAAGCGACTGATAAACGGAAGCGTTTGTGGTTTTACCGCGGCGGTAAGAAATCGTAAACATTTTAAGCAAGGTCTGGAAGCACGATGATAATAATGCTCTGATACGAGGACGAAGATACTATATAAGTTTTTTATAGGGACTTGGAGATTTCAGCTTTAAATGCAGCTTTGAGTCATGAGTTATTTTCGTTTCGGTTTGACAATTTTATTTATCCATAAAATTGTGTAGTTGTTCGTTGATGACTGTGAACCAATTCGAGGATGATTGTGGCGTTACCGAGACTGAAAATTGTTCAAGTTAATTGTTAGAAACGTAAGTTGGATTACAATGTTTCTCATCTTTCAATAATTATAACAATATCCTTAAATTATTCTATTGTAGGTACAGTTTTGTATTAATTTCGTCGTAAATACATAAAATGACTACACAAATGCAATCTAGTCATTTCGATGATGAATCCGTCGTTACAGACAAATATTTGTAAAGAAGGGAAATATTTTATTTTAAAAGAAGAGAATTTATTTATGGTCTTTTTGATGATCCAAAGTGAGCTGCAATTTTTTAAACATTATAACAACACAGTATTGTTGAGAATAGACACTGATACGAAGTGACACAGGAAAACATTAAAACATTTAGCATTTTCTCAAAAGATGCTTAATAAATTTCTTCTCGATGCACTTCTTAATGCACCGAAGTGAGCTCCAATTTTTAAGTAAAATATATATGTTTTTGAAAATATGACACTAACGTACAATGTCCCAGAAAACACTCAAACATTTTTGCATTGTTTAAATGAATACTTTGAAGAACTCCTGGTAGAAGCATGCTGCATCGATGCACTTTTTGATGCACTCAGCACGCTCCAAATTTGTCTAGCAACATAGTATATTTCTGGCACAATGTTCGAACCAGACACATCCTATTTGCCAATACGGTTATTAAAATATCGATATTTCGCGAAACTATATATAATTAGCACTCTATTCACGCGTCGTCAGAGCCATTTAAGCATTTCGTTAATCGCTCCGGATCACCCATCGGACCACGATGAAATCGAACCCGCGGCCACCCTAAAAACGTAACGAGCTCCGTGCACTCCCTTAATCAACCGCCGTTTTGTCGCGTGCGGCACGCACCCACGCATCCCTCCGCACGCAATGTGTACACAATTCTTTGTAAACGGGTGTCCGAGAAACGTAATGGGGCCCCACCGTGGAGGGAATCAAAGCAACGGCTCTCTTCCACCGAGATAGACGTAATTATTCGTGGAAAAGACTGTCCCCCTAACGTGACATAATATCTCTTTTTTACACCATGCTGTTTGGTGAAGACCATGCCGGCTATCCGGGACATGCCATTCTGTGTATTTTACACTAATTAACTGGTGCTTAGAGAGATAACAACGATCGGTAGCTATTGTACTTTGTGACTGGGCTCCTTTGCGTATTAATTAATTTACAGACAGCAACGGTATAACGGTGATCTCAATCTCCTTCGTCCAACATGTCCCAAATACTGTCCTATCCGCTCTGAAATCGTAAT